GATATAGATATATATATAGATAGATATGTAGATATATACATATATACATATATAGATATAGATATAGATATATATATATAAGCATTCAGCTACAGACGAGGGAAACGGAATAGCTGCATAAGTGGAGAGGCCGTTGCCAGCTAACTGACCCGGTATGTTCATAAACGCATAACAATACTGCTTATAGCCCCCCACACCCTCTCCGCTTTATTAGTGAATACATACTACACACATGTACATACACACAATGTGCATCAGTGTGTATCTATTGATCAGATCCTGAAGTAGTTGTTGAAGGATCCCAGCATGTCGTCGCACTTGGGCTTGTTTACGTCAAAGGTCCACTTGCCGTCGATGATGTACTTGTACTCGTACTCGCCGCACAACATGTCTATAACCGCAAAGTGCTGCCAGTTGTCGTTCTGTAGCTCCACGCGACGCTTCCACCCATCCCATGACCCGGACACCTCTACCTCTGTGGATGTGAAAGGTAAGGTAGCCGATGAGCTTCGTTTTAGGGCTATATGGGGACTGTTGGGGGCCATTAAATGAGGCTAGCCTAATTTGCATTCAGATCAAGACAAATCCTGTGCAGCGTTCAAGATCTATTACATAAGAAAGGTATTTCATGCTGTGAGCTCAGGGGCCAAATATAGCCTGTTCCGGGTCATTGAGTAGGGCTACTTCAATTAGTCTGCCTATGGGTTTAAACCACAATTACATAGCCTTCAGAACTTACTACGCTCTCAACCTGCCCTATGGCCCAGACACCTGTACCCCTATGGATAGACGAGGTGAGATGTACAGATATACACAGCCGGGTTAGGTTTATAAGCGAGATCGAGACCATAACAGGACCAATAACAGGGCCAATAACAGGGCCAAACATAGATCTAAATGAATCTAGCTGTGCACGGCTCTTTAGGTGACCACGGCTTTAACGTACGCATAGATAGAGATAGAGTGAAACAAAAACGTTTATATGTTCTCATCCATCCATAACAAGAACCAACGGCGCCGCTATCTCTGTGGAGGTGCATATGGATTTTGATGGTGTAGGTAAATAGTGCGGCAAATCCACTCGTCGAGCCTAATTGCTACATCTTTGGGGCCTACAACAGGGCTGATAAGTGTTAAACACGGTCGCTGGATGTAACTTTGGGCTTGCACCCGCACGCTCCATATAATCCAGACACATTGACATGCAAACACCATGTGATGTCCAACCATGCATAGCACAGCCACACGCGTCAGAGAGCTTTTGTCATTGCACACGCACACTTGATACCACACTTCTAAAGAAGGGCAGCATATATACAGAAAGGTCAAAATAAACAGACGATTCAACCCAACCACGCTAAGCAGCTTGACATTGCACACGCACACTTGATACCACACTTCTAAAGAAGGGCAGCATATATACAGAAAGGTCAAAATAAACAGACGATTCAACCCAACCACGCTAAGCAGCAGTTTTGTTTTGGGTGTGCCAATACCCTCGCGATACCCGCTAATACTTCCAGGCACCTCGACTAAACATGAGACAAAGCCTTATTGTAACACCAATGTGTTGTGCATAGCCGAGTGCTTACGACACCTTTTATGGGCACTCCTCATGGATTCGTTCATATCGTTTGTCCTGATTCTTGATCGTGGTTGCCTACTACACCGTCAGTATTCGCTGCAGACCATTTAATTGGTCTGTCTTTCTATGGCAGTAAACTTGTGAACACACCTTCATAGGCTGATATGAACATTTATCTACACACATATTCCACTCGATATGTATCTATATCTAATATGTAGTATGTATCTATATATGATATGCACATTTATGCACATACATACACATATCCCATTCGATGTGTATGTATATGTAATATGTAATTTGTATTCATACATGATATACATATTCATGTACGTACACAAACATGTCCCATACGACATACTTGTATCTGCATCGGCCTTCCAAACAAACATCACATTACGACGTCCTTCGTCCGGCGATAAAATCTGTGCCGTACGAGTCATTGCACAGATTCAGTCAGTGGGAATAAACCATGTCAGATAGGTAGCGAACTACCGGAAAAATCTACTACATATATACATTGCATGAGGATTTAGGCAATGTCACATAAAAGTATCACAAATAAACGCATTTGGACATTCGCACAAAAGAGACATCTACCAGTCAAGAGATTCTCGAAGCGTTTGGGATATTCACTACATCGAATATATATATACGTATACACATAAATACATACATATACATATATACATATACACACACATATATATATATATATATACATTAAATACATATATAAACGAACGAATATAGAAATCTGCCGTATGTGTTTACCTGCGTGGCTGGCACGGGAGGACCACCTGCCTTCATATACTGTCTCTGCAACATAGCCTGAGTGCCCACTGTTTTGGACTTGCGGTGTGGTGACTGTGTACGTGAATAGCCTGAGTTGATACCGTTTCGACTGGAAGTGTGGCCTATCTGCAGTGGTTTACCTTTACTGCCCGTCTGTGACTCGTATCTGTGGGGAAAGGTCAGTGAGCTGAGTGATATAGACTGTTAGACCAACCCCTCAGCTAAAGCGGAGACTACGTTGCATATAACTTGGGTATCAGAAACCCCGTTGTAATGATGCCTACCGACTTATGACTGAGACTAGACACCTGCGCATGTGTATGCCAGCAACAAGGTCACATGCATGGGTCATCTGAATCTTTGTTTTTATTCTCTCCGCACAGCCAGTTCAGGAGACCAGCACTCAATACGTATACGTATACGTGTAATGGACATATGCAGATACGCTTGTATTCGACCCGTACATACGAAAGCCTACAGACGATGCATAGGCATACAGAAGTACACCCAACTGCGTTTACAGACCATTTATATATTTATATATATGTATATATGTATATA